ATAGGGTGTCCTTTCCCTACTTTATCTTTTTGCTTGCTTTGTCGAAGATCAGTTGGCTGTAAGTATTTGTGTTTATTTCTGGGTTCTCTATTCTGTTCCATTGGTCTGTGCCTATTTTTAAACCAGTGCCATGTGTTTTGGTGGCTATGGCCTTATAGAATAGTTTGAAATCAGTTAATGTGATGCCTTCATATCTGTTCCTTTTGGTTAGTCTTGCTCTGGCTATGCAGGCTGTATTTTGGTTTTATATGAATTTTAGAATTGTTTTTCCAGTTCTGTGAAGAATAATGGTGGTATTTTGCTGGGAATTGAATTGAATTTGTAGATTGCTTTTGGCAGTATGGTCACTGTCACAATATTGATTTTACCCATCCATGGGCATGAGATGTGTTTCCATTTGTATTGTCTGTGATTCCTTTCAGCTGTGTTTTGTAGTTTTCCTTGTAGAGGTCTGTCATCTCCTTGGTTAGGTATAGTCCTAAGTACTTTATTTTATTTTTCCACCTATTGTTAAGTTCTTGATTTGATTCTCAGCATGGTTGCTGTTGGTGTATAGGAGAGCTACTGATTTGTGTACATTAATTTTGTATCCTGAAACTTTGCTAAACTCTTTTATCAGTTCTTTAGGAGCTTTTTGGAGCAGTCTTTAGGGTTTTCTAGTCATACAATCATATCATCAGCAAACAGGGATAGTCTGACTTTCTCTTTAACAATTTGGTTGCTCTTTATTTCTTTCTCTTGTCTGATTACTCTGGCTAGTACTTCCAGTACTATGTGGTGAGAGTGGGCATTCTTGTCTTGCTCTGCTTCTCAGAGGGAATGCTTTCAACTTTTCCCCATTCAGTATTGTTGGTTGTGGTTTGTCATAAATGGCTTTTATTACATCGAGGCATGTCCCTTGTATGCAGTTTTGCTGATAGTTTTAATCATAAAGGGATGTAGGATTTTGTCAAATGTTTTTTCTGCATCTATTGACATGATCATGTGATTTTGTTTTTAATTTTATGTAGTGTATCACATTTATTGACTTGCACATGTTAAATCATCCCTGCATTCCTATTGTGAAACTCACTTGATTGTGGCATTATCTTTTTGATATGCTGTTGAATTTGGTTAGCTAGTATTTTGTTAAGGGTTTTTGCATCTATATTTATCAGGAATATTGGTCTGTGTTTTTCTTTTTTGGTTATGTCCTTTCCTGGTTTTGGTATTAGGGTGATACCGGGCTTCATAGAATGATTTAGAAGTGATTCTCACTTTCTCTATCTTGCTGAATAGTATCAATAGGATTCGTATCAATTCTTCTTTGAATGTCTGGTAGAATTAATACATCTGATCCTAGATATTTTTCTTGGTAATTTTTTAAATTACCACTTCAATCTTGCTGCTTGTTACTGGTTTGTTCAGAGAATCTAATCCTTTCTGATTTAATATAGAAGGGTTGCATCTTTCCAGGAATTTATCCATCTCCTCTAGATTTTCTTGTTTATGTCCATAAAGGTGTTCCTAGTAGCCTTAAATAACCTTTTGTATTTCTGTGGTGTCAGTATATTTCCCATTTCATTTCTAACTGGGCTTATTTGGATTCTTTTCTCTTCTTTTCTTGGCTAATCTTGCTAATGGTCTATCAATTTTATTTATCTTTTCAAAGAATCAGCTTTTTGTTTCATTTATCTTTTGTATTTTTCTGTTTTAATTTCATTTAGTTCTGCTCTGGTCTTGGTTATTTCCTTTCTTCTGCTGGCTTTGAGTTTGTTTTGTTCTTATTTCTCTATGCTATTGAAATGTGACCTTTAATTGTCTCTTTGTGCTCTTTCTGACTTTTTGATGTAGTCATTTAGTGCTATGAACTTTCCTCATAGTGCTGCCTTTGCTGTATCCTAGAGGTTTTGATAAGTTGTGTCACTATCATCATTCAGTTTGAAGAGTTTTTAATTTTCCATCTTGATTTCATTGTTGACCCAATGCTCATTCAGGAGCAAGTTACTTTTTTATCTTTTTATTTGTTTATTTTTTTGAGATGGAGTCTCCCTCTGTCACCCAGGCTGGAGTGCAGTGGTGTGATCTCAGCTCACTGCAACCTCCACCTCCCAGATTCAAGTAATTCTCCTGCCTCAGCCTCCCTAGTAGCTGGGTTTACAAGCATGGGCCATCATACCTATCTAATTTTTGTATTTTTAGTAAAGATTCGGTTTAGCCACATTGGCCTGGCTTGTCGCAAACCACTGACCTCATGCGATCCACCCACCTTGGCCTCCCAAAGTGCTGGGATTATAGGTGTGAGCCACCATGCCCAGCCAGGAGCAGGTTATTTAATTTCCATGTAATTTGCATGGTTTTGAAGGTTTCTTTTGGAGTTGATTTCCAGTTTTATTGCACTGTGGTCTGAAAGAGTATTTGATATAATTTCAATTTTCTTAAATTTACTGAGACTTGTTTTGTGGCCTATCATATGGTCTATCTTGGAGAAAGTTCCATGCACTGATGAATAGAATGTATATTCTGTGGTTGTTGGGGAGAATGTTCTGTAAATGTTTGCTAAGTTCATTTGTTCCAGGGTATAGTTCAAATCCATTGTTTCTTTGTTGACTTCCTGTCTTAATGACCTGCCTAGTGCAGTCAGTGGAGTATTGAAGTCCCCCACTATTATTGTGTTGCTATCTCATTTCTTAGTTTTAGTAGTAATTGTTTTATAAATTTGGGAGCTCCAGTGTTAGGTGCATATATAAATATATATGCATTGTGATATTTTCCCATTGGACAAGACCTTTTATCGTTATATAGTGTCCCTTTTTGTCTTTTTAATTGTTGTTGCTTTAAAGTTTGTTTTGTCTGATATAAATATAGCTACTCCTGCTTGCTTTTGGTGTCTATTTGCAAGGAATGTATATTTGTAACCCTTTATCTTAAGTTTATGTGAGTCTTTATGTGTTAAGATGGGTCTCTTGAAGGCAGAAAATACTTGATTGGTGAATTCTTATCCATTCTGCAATTCTGTATCTTTTAAGTGGAGCATTTAGGCCATTTACATTCAACATACTATTGAGATGTGAGGTACTATTCCATTCACTGTGCTATTTGTTACCTGTATACTTTGTTTTTTTAAATCATATTTTTATTTTATAGGTCCTGTGAGATTTATGCTTAAAGGTTCTGTTTTGATGTGTTTCCAGGATTTGTTTCAAGATTAAGGGCTCCTTTTAGCAATTCCTGTAGTGCTGGCTTGGCAGTGGTGAGTTCTCTTAGCATTTGTCTGAAAAAGACTGTATCTTTCCTTCATTTATGAAGTTTCACTGGATACAAAATTCTTGGCTGATAATTGTTTTGTTTAAGGAGACTGAAGATAGGGCCCCAATCCCTTCTAGTTTCTGGGGTTTCTGCTGAGAAACTGCTGTTAATCGAATAGGCTTTCCTTTACAGGTTACCTGGTACTTCTGACTGACAGCTCTTAAGATTCTTTCCTTCATCCTAACTTTAGATAACCTGATGACAATGTGCCTAGGTGATGATCTTCTGCAATGAATTTCCCAGATGTTCTTTGAGCTTCTTGTATTTGGATGTCTAGGTCTCTAGCAAGGTCAGGGAAGTTTTCTTCAATTGTTCCCCCAAATATGTTTTCTAATTATTCTTAGGTCTGATAGTTTAAATAATCCCAGACTTCTTGGAGGTTTTGTTCATTTTCTCCTATTCTTTTTTGTCTTTGTTGGATTGGATTAATTCAAAAACCTTGTCTTCAAGCTCTGAAATTCTTTCTTTTGCTTGTTCAATTCTATTGCTAAGACTTTCCAGAGCATTTTGCATTTCTCTAAGTACATCCATTATTTCCTGACGTTTTGATTGTTTTTTATTAACGCTATTTCACTGAAGATTTATCCCCTAATTTCTTGTATCATTTTTTTTTAATTTCCTTACATTGGACTTCACCTTTCTCTGGTGCTTCCTTGCTTAGTTTAATAACTGACCTTCTGAATTCTGTTTCAGGTTAATTGAGGATTTCATCTCGTTTGGATGCTTTGCTTGTGAGCTGGCGTGATTCTTTTGGAGGTGCTACAGAAACTTGTTTTGTCATATTACCGAAATTGTTTTTCTGGTTCCTTCTCATGTGGGTAGGCTCTGTCAGAGGAAAAGTCTAGGGCTCAAGGATGCTGTTCAGATTCTTTCGTCCCACAGTGTGTTCCCTGGATGTAGTACTCTCCCCCTTTTCCTAGGGATGTGTTCCTGAGAGCTAAGCTGTAGTGATTGTTATCTCTCTTCTGGATCTAGCCACCTAGCAGGTCTACCAGGCTTTGGGCTGGTACTAGGGGTTGTCTGCATAGAGTCTTGTGATGTGAACCGTCTGCAGGTCTCTCAGCCATGGATACCAGAACAGTATTTTGGGTGTCTCCCAGATCCTGCAGGAGCAATCTGCTTCCTTCAGAGGGTCTGTGGGTTCTCTTGGCTTTCCTGATTTATTCTTGCAGTAGTTCTGGAGCCAAAGTTCATGATGCAAGTCTCCATGCACTCCTCTGTTCATCTGTGTGGGAGCTACAATCTAGATATGCACAAACACTTTCAAGAAGCAAGATTTAAAACAGATCCTAAAAAGATTTAAATAGGATGGTAAAGAAGGGAATTTCTGGTAGACTGAGCTGGTTGAACAAATGCACAGATTTGGAAATACTTACATGCAGTCTTGAAAAGCAGTACCCTTCTTCCAAGTCTCTTACATCTTGCTCTATGGATATGCAGATTTGCAGTCATATTTCTAATATCAAATATAATCATTTATAATTTAAATGTGAGTCTATGTTTGAGTGTCTTTATTATTTGGAGGACACTGTCTTTTCACACGTACTGAAATGTTTATGCAATAAACACTGTATGATCTGTTTATCTATCTGTAGGAACCTAGTCTCTGGGGAAGTTCCTTTTAAACTGAAGATGCTTTCAAGAGAGTTAAGTAGAACAGTGGTCTCCTTGGCTCTGAAGGTACACTTGTAGCTTACTTCAGGTACTCAAAGCACTCTAATATAAAGTTTACTTTTTCAATTATATAAGAATTACATATTCAAATACTATATTTACAATATATAGGAAGAAGAAAAAATCTTTTATATTCATGTCACACTAAGCAACAATTACTAATATTTGAGTGTCTACCTCCAGAATTTTAATGTACTTCTTAATACAGTGGTGATTAAAATACACATTTTTGTGTCCTACTATTTTTATGTGCATAAAGATAATTAATTAGGCGACTAAGTTTATTTCCATGTTATATCTGGGGAATTACATATGCTCAAGTACACAGGAGTTATCAGTGCATTATATCATTAAGAGATCATCGAACAGGTGCAGCGGCTCATGCCTTTAATCCCAGCACTTTGAGAGGCTGAGGCAGGTGGATCATGAGGTCAGCAAATCAAGACAATCCTGGCCAACATGATGAAACCCTATCTCAAATAAAAATACAAAAATTAGTTGGGGGTGGTGGCACACGCTACTCAGGAGGCTGAGGCAGGAGAATCACTTGAACCCGGGAGGTAAGGGCTGCAGTGAGCTGAGATCATGCCACTGTACTCCAGCCTGGGAAACTGTTTAAAAAAAAGAGAGAGTGAGAGAGATCATCACCCACCACAATAAGCTATCATCTTTTTTATATTTGTGTGTGATATATGTGTTTAATTTTTTCACCTCATATTAGTCTTACTTGGATGGGTGTCTAGATGGATAAAGGACAAAAATTAAAGCAGTGTTAGTTACAGATAGCATTTAGCATTAAGTTATTTAATAGTAACTACATTAATATGCTCCGTCTAAAATCAGCTAATGGAGAGTTAAGTATTAGCAAGTCCTGTTTGGGGACTTAGCAAGAATTATCAGTTTCCTGATAGTCAACTTTTGGGTTGAAGAGGTTTTTCAATGGAAATGTGTGCATCTGATGAATGCTAATTACATGGTTCAAAATCTTCTTTAGCCAATCCATTTGCAGCTGTTATCCAAGTTATTTTATAAATGTCTGAAACAGCTGTCAACATTCTGAGGGGAAGCTCTTCAATCAATGAATTGACAGAAATGCAATACTTAGATTTTTCTGAGCAGAAGGCAAGAGAACATAATATACATGTCTTCAGTGATGTAGCCAGCAATGAAAGGGAACGATTGATACTGCCATTGTGTTTTAAACTGCTGAAGAAAATGTTCATGCTCATGGGCATGGAAAAGATATTATAAGACTTGGATAGGAGACCCACAAAGTCAAATGGGGTGTTTGAGTGTCCTAAGGATACAAGCAAAGCAATCTTATTTCCCATCAATAAGAATGCTTCTAGTGGTGTATAGCAACATTGTAAATCATATTTTAATTAAAATTTTAGTACTTGTTGATGTTATTTGTTTATTGTCTCAATAAAGCATTTTTAACAGATGACATCTGGACATTTTGCTTAATTTCTCTCTCTCTCTTTTTTCTCTATAAAATTCTTTAGTAAATCTAATTGTTGAGAAAGGCACCAGACTGACAGCTCTGGAAAATGAAGCCTTTTATTCAGCTTCAAAGTTAGTGTGTTCGGAAAAGAACTGCCTTCGTGCTGCTGCTATTGGCCTCAATTTTGCACTAAAGAGAATACTTCTTAAAAGAGGGCTTAGGTTACTTTTAATCTTGATCTAGTATTTGCTTCTTGGCTAAGATTGCAGCCTTAAGTGGGAAAATGAGCAACTGTTAGGGCTGTGCTTTCTGGATCCTCATGCATCAGAAATTACATTGAACTCACTATGTCATTCCATCTGCAAGTGATCCCCAAATGATTCTTGAACCACCATGACCTCCTTAAAAGTAATCCAATATTTTCCTTGCAAGAATGAAAAAATACCTTCTCTGCTCACATAAAACATATGGCATGTGACAATATGCCTGGAATTATAATGTAAGGATAAATGTGCATGCAGAAATCATGAGCTCTGTCATAAAAGAAAACTGTAAAAAATTCTGAGCAGCCATATCTTAAGTAGCATGCTCATTGTCATCCGAGAAAAAAAGCAAAGAACAGGGATTCCTATGGTCATTAGAATTACTCGGGAAACATTTAGAAATCCCAAAGACCAGTCACACCCCAGACCATCCAATCAGAATCTCTGGGCCTGGTACCAGACATGTCTCTTTTCAACATGTGTCTTTTCAGCCTGTACATGTAGCCAATGTTAAGGAATTTTGGCATAGAGCACAGTCACAATATTGATGCATTTGCAAAAAGATATAGTTTCTTTCTTAAGATGGCTTTTCTTTGCAATGTGGAAAACAAAACATTCTGCCCCCTCAATACAATAACATGTTAATAGAAAAATGTCTTGCTGTTGTCAAAAATAGACATCCTTTTTTCCCCATTAATGTATTACTTGTCATTTACTTAAAAATATTTAACTGGTGTAAGGTCAAGCTATTAAGAATTTTGCAGAGATTTACATGGAGATATTTTATTGTTTTGAAATATGAAATGGGAGGTTGCAGTGAGCCAAGAGCACACCACTGCACTCCTGCCTGGGCAACAGAGTGAGACTCTGTCTCAAAATAAATAAATAAATAATTTGAAAAAAGAAAAAAGAAAGAAAAATTCACTAGGGGCTGGGCTCAGTGGCTCAAGCCTACAACCCCAGTACTTTGGAAGGCCAAGGTGGGTGTATTACCTGAGCTCAGGAGTTTGAGACCAGCCTAGGCAACATGGTGAGACCCTGTCTCTACTAAAAATACAAAAAATTAGCCAGGCCTGGTAGCTCATGCCTATAGTTCCAGATACTCAGGAGGCTGAGGCAGGAGAATTACTTGAACCCAGGAGGCAGAGGTTACAGTGAACTGGGATTGCACCAATGCACTCTAGCCTGAGTGACAGAGCAAGACCTTGTTTTAAAAAAAAAAAAAAAAAGAGAAGAATAATTCATTAGGAATTCAAAGGCAGTTTGACCAAGAAGAAGAAAGAATCAGTGAACTTGAAGATGACACAATTGAAATTATTGAGTCTGAGCAACAGAAAAAAAAAGATTGAAGAAAACTGAATAGATTGTAAGGGCGCTGTGGGACATCTAACAGTTTTTGTTGTTGTTGTTGTTGTTGTTGTTGTTGTTGTTGTTTTTGGATTTGAACCTTTAATGAGAAAAAAATATATACTACGGAGCTCAAGAGCACTGTGTGTTTGGTGTGTTACTGGGTCAAGGGTTGGGGATACGCAATAAAAATACACACGGTCATAACAAGAAAAACTGGCGCCTGGCACAATCAACTCTCAGATTCGTCTTCACTCAGCAGCATGTTGGGGATCCCACGGCTGAGGGGGAACATCCGTCCAGACTCCAGGCCCTGCAGGGTGCCCTCCACCACTTCCACCTCCAGCAGCAGGTGGTGCATGGTCCACAATATATGTATTGTGGGAGTCTAAAAGAAAAAAAGAGTAAGGCAAAAAAATTATTCAAAGAAATAACAGACAAATTATTCCTAAAGTTGACATGAATATAAATACTATATTTAGACATGAATATAAATATTCAAGAAGCTTGACAGATTCCAAATAGGATGAACAGCGACCAATATCAAGGCAAATGATTATCAAGCTGTGGAAAGCCAAAGGCAAAGAGAATCTCGAAAGCAGCAAAAGAGAAGCAATTTGTTACATATAAGTATCTTCAGTTAAGATGGTCAGCACATTTCTCATAGGAAACTTTGGAGGCCAAAAGTCAGTGGGCTGATATATTCAAAGTGCTGAAAGAAAGACTGCCAACAGAATCCTGTCTTCAGCAAAAATGTCCTTCAAAAATGTGGGAGAGATTAAGGCATTTCCAGATAAACAAAAGTGAGGACTTTGTAATCACTAGACCTGCCCTTCAAGAACTGCTAAAAGGATCACTGCAGGTTGAAATAAAGGACACTAGGCAGGAACTCAAAGCTGTATGAAGAAATAAAGATGTCAGTGAAGGTAAGAACATGGGCAATTATAAAAGCTAGTGTTGTTGTAACACCAGTTTGTAACTCTACTTTTTGTTTATTTTACATGACTTAACGGACTAATATATATTTTTAAATTATTAACATAAAAGTTAGTATAATTGCAACGTTGATTTGGAACACTATACTTTGTTTTCTAAATAATTTAAGACACTCGGTCGGGCGCAGTGGCTCACACCTGTAATCCCAGCACTTTGGGAGGCCGAGGCGGGTGGATCACGAGGTCAACAGATCGAGACCATCCTGGTCAACATGGTGAAACCCTGTCTCTACTAAAAATACAAAAAATTAGCTGGGCATGGTGGCGCGTGCCTGTAATCCCAGCTACTCAGGAGGTTGAGGCAGGAGGAGAATTGCCTGAACCCAGGAGGCGCAGGTTGTGGTGAGCCGAGATCACGCCATTGCACTCCAGCCTGGGTAACAAGAGCGAAACTCCGTCTCAACAAAAAATAATAATGATTTAAGACACTAATGTGTAACAACATAATTATCAGTTGTGTTTTTGAACACATAAGGTATAAAGGTGTAATTTGTTACACCAATAACTATAAAAGGGTGGGGACTGAGCAGTTAAAGGAGCAGAGTTTTATTTGTTATTGACGTTAACCTGACATAAATGCAAACTAGTGTATTATAACTTTAGGATGTTAAATGTAATCTACATGGTAACCATAAGGAAAATATCTATAGAATATACACAAAAGAAAATTAGAAAACACTTAAAATGTTTTGTCACAGAAAAATCAACTAAAAACAAAAAGACAGCAATCTGGGAAATGAGGACCAAAAGAATCTAGGAGACATATAGAAAACAGGCCAGCCACAGTGGCTCACTCCTGTAATCCCAGCACTTTGGGAGGCTGTGGTGGGTGGATCACTTGAGGTCAGGAGTTCAAGACCAGCCTGGCCAACATGGTGAAACCCTGTCTCTACTAAAAAATACAAAAATTATTCAGGTGTGGTGGCATGTACCTGTAATCCCAGCTACTCAGGAAGCTGAGGCAGGAAAATCACTTGAACCTGAGAGGCAGAGGTTGCAGTGAGCTGAGATCACACCACTGCACTCCATTCAGCCTAGGTGACAGGGCAAGACTTTGTCTCAAAAAAGACATACAGAAAACAAAGAAAAAGTGACAGAACTCCCTCCTTATCAGGAACTACTTTGAATGTAAATGGATTAAACTCTCCAATCAAATGGTAGAGATTAGCAGAATACAGAAAAATAAAACAATCTAACTATATGCTGTTTACAAGAGACTCACTTTAACTCTAGAGATGCAAACAGGTTGAAAGTGAAATACTGGAAAAAGATTTTTGATGCAAATAGTAACACATAACAGCATTATTCACAATAGTCCAAATGTGGAAACCCAAGTGTCCCTCAGTAGATGAATGGATAAAAAAAATATGTGGCATATTCATACAATGGAATATTATTCAGACCCCAAAAGTAAGGAAATTCTGATACATGCTACAACATGGATGAGTCTTGAGGACATCATTTTAAGCAAACTAAGTCAATCACAAAAACACAACTACTGTATGATTTCACTTGTATTAGTTTCCGTGAGTTGTCAAATTGAAAGAGACAGAAAGTAGAATGATAGTTGCCAGGGAATACATGGGGAGAGGGGAGTAATGGTGAGTTACTTACTCTCTAATGAGCTTAGAGTTTACTTTTTTTTCTATTTTTTATTTTTCAGTACTTTTTGTAAGCACTATAAAGGACAGAGTTTGTTTTGTAAAATAAAGAGAGTTCCAGGAGGAACTCTTGGAAGGTGATAATGGTTGCACAACAATATGAAAGCACTTAATAGTACTAAATGTGCACTTAAAGATGAGTAAAATGGTAAATTTAATGTTTTGTATGTTTTACCACAATTTTTTGAAAAGAAAATTTAAAAAGACATGACTATCAAGCTAAGAGAGAAAAGGTTTATGTGGAGGGGATAATAAGCCAATCAAGGAAAATGGCAACAAAATGATAGAAGAAATATCTCAGCCAATTGTTCTTTTCTAAATCCTCATTTACTCACTCTTACTCTGAATTTGAAGAACAAACTTCATCCATCTGGCCAAAGGAACATTCCATGAAATGTGGATATCAATCCTTAAAGCTAATTAGTGTTTGTGGTGATGAAATTATTTCAAAAACTTTTAAAGAATTTTCTCATATTATTTAGAGTACTTTAGATTCTTTCTCTCTCTCTTTTTCTTTGTGTGTGTGTGTGTGTGTGTGTGTGTGAAGAAATTAAGAACATCTAAGAAATTTAAGAGTTTCTTCTGTTTTCTTGACCAATCTAGCTTGATAACATTTTAGTTTTCTTTTGAAGTATTTAATTTTCACGATATGAATAGGGAACACTTTTTCTCTTTTTCAAGGTTAAAATAACACCTTTCCATTGTTAACGTGTGTTTTTAGTGTTTAAAACATGCAAGCCAGTGTATCCAAACCTAAACAGTTTCTGGTATGCTTTAAATCTAATTAGGTTATTGTGAGATTCAAGGTAAAATATGTAAAAATGCTTTGAGAAACATAAATTATTGAATAATCAATGTATACATTTAGTTCTTAGTTACAAATCTAATTCTGACCAAAAAAATATTACACAGTAGAAATCTGTACAATAAAATATGGAGCTGTGGATAATGTGCAAGAAATTCACTATAATTCTTAAAGGTGCTGAACTGTGGGTACTTCCATTAAATAATCATTACATACTTCATTTGTAGAAATACACAGATGCTGGGTCTGCATGCAAAATAAAGTGGATGTTTCTACACATATCTGAACAGAAAATAAAACACCAATGAATTTTTTTTAGAAAAGGAAAAAGTCAGTTGTTCTTTCTAAGTGAAAAAAGAAGTAGGGAAAAAACCCTATTGTGAATATGGTCATAAGGGACTATTTGCTAAACAACTGGCACTTCTCCTTGTTTAGCTTCCACCTGAGATCCCAGAAGCCAAGCCGAATCAAGGACTTGCTTCGAAAACTGTCATCATGACCATTATAATCCGATTAATCATGCTGCTTTTGCCTTCCTTCAAGAGTCAAGGTACCATTTTCTAAGGTTAAAAAATAGGCATCCTCTGTGAGGGTAAAAATCTTCAATAATAATTTTCTGTGCAATAAAAATGGAAATGAACTCATTAGACAACCACACACAGTTACTGTAACAGCCAGTCTTTCCCTGAGTTAATTAAGCACCAAAATAAAGTTAGCTGTCAGCATAGAAAGGGCACAAAAACATACAAGTTCTCAATTTGTACACATCCTTATGTTAGAAAAAGGAAATTAACTGGGCACGGTGGCTCACAGCTGTAATCCCAACACTTTGGGAGGCTGAGGTGGGTGGATCATGAGGTCAGGAGTTCAAGACCAGCCTGGCCAAGATGGTGAAACCTTGTCTACTAAAACTACAAAAATTAGTCGGGTGCAGTGGCAGGTGCCTATAATCCCAGCTACTTGGGAGGCTGAGACAAGAGAATCACTTGAACCCTGTTGGCATAGGTTGCAGTAAGCTGAGATCGTGCCACTGCACTCCAGTCTGGGTGACACAGTGAGACTCCGTGTCAAACAAACAAACAAACAAAGGAAATTAAATGATAAAATCATAAAAGATAATATTCGGTTTGTGCAAAAGTTACTGCAGTTTTGTGCAAAAGTCATTGTGGTTTTTGCCATTGAAAGTAATGGCAAAAACGCAATGACTTTTGCCCCAACCTAAATATCTACATAGCACCAGAAAATTGAAGAATATGAATGTTTACCACTGAAAGATGGCAGAGACAGAAGAGACAACTTAGGTGTTAAACAGTCACTCATTCACCAAGTATTTATTGATTGCCTTGATTGTGCCAGGCATGTTTTGGATTGGGAATACAGTATAAACAAAACAGACATTGACCCTGCCCTCAAAGCATTTGAAAAGGACCTCAAATTCCTCTCAGCAAAACAATCTAATAGACATTTAAGACCCCTCTGCAATATCCAAATTAAGTGGTTGCTGCAAAAACTGAATTAGCTTTTGCTCAACATCTATTCCAATTAATCCCTTAAAAAACATTTATGTTCCAGGTTATAGGCACTGGGTACTGTTTGGAAACTTGTTAGAAATTACAGCTATGAGTAAAGCCGTTTTTTAAAAAAATTACTTTCCTACTATATAGCTAATGATGAAAAGTTAAAGACTCTCTTGCAAGCTAGAGTTCTAGATCTGATTTAGTTTCTACTGATCAGAGATGCTTACATGAGACTTGAATTTGGAACTGAATTAAGTTGGAATAGGTGGGCAGAGCATGAGGCATCCCTTGGCTGGTGCAGTTCCTGGCAGAGGCTGTGTCATTTAAGGGGCTAGAGGTGTTCCCAAAGTTCAGCTAAGGCTTGACCCAGCTTCCCTTACAATAATTTTGTATGGTCAATATCTGGTATG